GCACAAGATATGTTCACATATGTTTTCTCTTTGGACCCATATGCATGCTCTTCTGCCCACTTGATTAATTTTTACTTGTTCTTTAGGTCACAATACAGAGTCCCTCAAAAAGTTTGTTTGACCCCCCCAGACCTGCCTTCAGTGCCCCTTTATTATGCTCCTTAGCATCTTTGGCTTACCCTTATCATAGCACATTACCATTATTATTCCAAAATATAAGCTGCATCATCTAGAAGGCAGAAGACTCTGTATTCTGTTTTATTTTCTTTGTGTTATTTACATTTCTAAAAAAGTCTGTATACTTCCTCCCATCTCCTCTTAGTAAACAAAATAAGTTAGATGAATATATTTTAAGGGTTGGGTCATTTGTTTGAAAAACAGTCAAGTGAATGCTTACGTGACAGCTTTAAAATTTATCAGAGCAATCCTTTGGCCAGCACTCCTCAAACATGCTCACTTTCTACCAGTGACTGAGGATGGTAGGGGGTGGAGGCCTTGAAAATGGATTGTCATGGAGTATCAACTCTCTGCCTAGCTCATGTATAATAAAGGAGAAGATTGTCTACATTTGTCACCCCTGGAAGCTGACAACTTGAGCAGACATAAGTCTAGCATAGTCCCAAGAGCAGGGCTTTCAGAAGTTTGAAAAAAATTAATGAGAACATCAAGTTTGTAAGAGGGGAATGGAGCAAAGTAGAGTTAATGGTATATCAGTTACTATTAGCACTTATCTGGTCATAGAGATTCTTTCATTAAGAGATTTCTCATTATTGTTTAAAAGTCACTTAAAAATTGATGGTAATACATTCTAAAGAAAAAAAAATCTGATTTCTTTGTTCAATTAATGAATTTTAACTCTGTATGGGAATGACATTATCATTGGGATTCCCGAACTGAAAGGAGATCGCTTTGGCTCTGTTTGTAGAAACAAACAAACAAAAAAATCAAATCTCCAAGTAATCTGTATTCATTCTCTAAGGCCCTACAGACAGCCTCACTAAACTATGAGTCAGAAGTGACAGCAAAAAAGCCTGATTTCGAAAAATAAAAATAAAGTAAAATTAACAGAAAAAAATCACTCGAGATAGAGATTGGGACAAACACCAACAGAGGTATGAGCTGTGTATGACAAGACTTTGGCTCAATGAAATGCAAATCTCTGAAATAAGAAATCAGATTTCAGTTTCATGCACTGCCCCAATAGCAGAAGATATGTTCACATCCAGCAGTTCACACCTGGCTATGACGCTTTCCTGTTAACACTTTGTCAATCCTTCATCAGTTTTAAATTCGAAGTTCCCAAAACACACTTTTTCAGTGATCACAAAAACTAAGAATATATGTACCCAACTTGCTTTACTTAAGTGATAGTAGAGTTATTCAGACTGAAATATTTTTATCTCTGCTCTAAAAGAGGGTCTAGGTAATAAGGATAGCCTCCACAGGGAGTTAGTAAGTATATTTGAACAGAGTGCTATAAAGCATTAATCTCTAACTTTTACATTATTGAAGGGAAGTTGGGGGGAAAAAGGAGAGTTACTACTTATTAATTAAAAATTTTTCATTCTTTTATTAATTTCTATATTTTCTATCCTAAATAATAAAAGGCTAATAAGCAAACCAACTGAACGGTGGAACCACCAAAGGAACAACCAGTTGCTGTGATGTGCACTGATCACCATGGGGCAGATGATCAACGCAGGAGCTGCCCCCTCATGGTCAATGTGCTCCCACAGGAGGAGTACCACTCAGCCAGAAGCAGGGCTCACAGCTGGCGAGCACAGCAGTGGCAGTGGGAGCCCCATGAGGAGCGGGCCTAAGCACTCAATCGGACATCCACCAAGGCCTCCCAGACTGCGAGAGGGTGCAGGCCAGGCTGAGGAAGATTTTGTGCACTGGGCCTCTAGTAAGTTTTATAATACATATGATACTTTGCATATCATTTAGAATCAAATACATCTATTTTGGGGAGTTAACACCCAAAAACATTTTAACTGATACACTGTGCAATCAACCAAGATGCTAAATAATCATGTGAATGAATATAAATTATAACCACATCAGTGCCACAGCTTTTATTCCCCTTTGTGGGACTAATCTGAACTCATTCAAACATAAAGCTTTAAGGTTCATACACCGTGGAAGCCCTTGAACTGCTGCCACTGCCATGGAGACTAACGCACTGTAAACCCTAAGGAGTTGTCAGGCTTTTGGGAGAGGACTTAGCCCATACTATGTTCATATCCTAGAAGGATTAGCACTGTGAGAATCCAGGCCTATGGTTCTGTTATAGTGATAAGGATTTTTTTTTAAACTACCATCTTTTACAGATGAATTCCTTATAAGCCAAGCTTTTCTTAGAAAAGCTGAAAGTTCAGGGCCTACCCTTGAGAAGCAGAGATAAGAGGCAGATGTTGCCTCTATTACGAAGCCACTGTGGGACCCACTCATATGATATATTCCTGTGATATAAAGATATTTGGACAATAGAGGTTTGTTTCATATAGCTGCACAAACTCATGCAAAAAAAAAATTGGAATATGACCTCCTCTGGACTGGAACCTTATCTTGGTTATCTCTGTATCTTCCCTAGAGCTTACTGAAGTAGCTAGAACATAATAGGTGCCAATAAAATATTTAATGAAAGACTGAACAGATGACAAATGAATGATGCACTTCTACTCATACATATAGTAGGTTTTGAACTCCTAGTTCTCAACTGTGGACACTGTTAGGGATGATCCCGCAGCAGCTATCTTCTTAGACTCACCTGGTCCCAGGCATATCAGGAAAGTTTATAACGTCATTGATGAAGGACAGTAATAACAACAATGATAATGATAATAGCTAACATTATGATTGCTTGTCATGTGCCAACACAAAAACTGCTTCCTTTAAAACTTAAACAAGGAGTAGAACAACCTTTAAATATAATTAAATATAAGGGCAGAATAAAGTAATTCTGAATATAAAGGACCACACGTTGATCTCTTATCCAAAAATATGGCACCTGTCTGAAACTCCACTGAAAAAAACTCTAGATCTTTGATTAACCAGTTAACTGCCACATCTATAGATGCTTATGGTGTATAAATAGTTAATACACAGAGGTCAGAGTCAAAGGAAAGACTATTGCTTGTACACATGTCTAGGCAGGGCAGTAAACTGCATATATTTTTTTTTCTGACATCATTCTACTGCAGCTCCAGTTATGATTATTCTAAGAAATTTCTCTCCTGGTCAAATCTACATGGGTGCAAATTAGCCTCAGGATAGTGTCTCCTAGTGTTCCAAAGAATAACCTCAAGATCTGGGGTGGAAATAAACATTAGGTGACAACAATTTGGGGAATGATAAGTGCTGAGTGTTTTGTGCTCCTCTTAGAGACTTACATTGCACAGGAGTACATTAGAGATAAAAAGACAATAGGAAGGAAACTTGTTCACTATTACTTAATCCAGAATTCTCCATAGCTTTTGACAAATAAACCATTTTTCAACAGAACACTTCACATGTATTTTCTTGAAATTAGGATGAAGGAGTACTGGCTTTGGAAGTTCCTAAAAAAGAGCTCTGTGCTGGGATTCTAGCAGTGGACACAGGGAAAGGGGATTACTATGAAGACCTATCTGATTTGGAGAAAGTAAGGTTTACTATGGTCTGGGCCAGAAAAGACACATGCTTGGTATTTGTTATTTATATGACAAAAATGCAACCCTATATAAAGGCTTGGGAGAAAAAGACTGACTTTTAATCACTTGCTTGAATGAACAGTTTGGTTCTTATGGTGGTCTCACACAGTCTCAGAAATTTATATTTTCATTTTATCCCAAAGAAAAACTTGACCGTCTTTCTTTAATACTATCAACTTGGAAGCTTGACAGTAAGGATTAAAAATTGCTCCTTCCTTCCCACTTGGTTATTGGAAAGGCTCTGAAAGGTAATCAGTCTTGTGAAGCTACACTTTACAGTCTGCATAAAAATGCCATGATTTCCCTACCTCTCCCCAACCTAATTGAAAGTGCATAATATCACCCAGCTGGGGAAATGTAAACGGTAAACATATGCAATATATCATGCTCCCACACAAAAGCTGGTTACTAATAGGGACTGGGTGGTTGTCAGGACCAAAAGGAACCTGGAAAACAAGTCTTTTTTTTCCACCTAGAATGAGAGCTCTTTGTGTCTGCCACCATTCCCCTTTCATCCCTTCCTCCAGACTTTAAGCTGCAGCCGGATTAAACCAAGGTCAGTCAACTCAATCTTTGCCTGTGTAAATTCTAAGAGTCACCTAACAATGTATATTGACTAACACGCTCTTATATCAGCCTTTCAAGAGATGAAGCATTTTGCTTTTGGCAGGAGGTGGAGTTGGAATCGTTTTATTTCCTACCTACTTCAATTGTGTGACGGATGGTCCTATTATCTCTTGCCTTAGCTGCTATACCTAAAGATCCTTGGCCTTGTCACCTCTTATCTTTTTCTACTTCATCAAACTCCAGTTGCCAAGATGTTCTCCTTTCCTACTGTTGTTCATCCATGAATATCTATTCAGAATCACATGAGTATAAAATCTCAATCTTACTTTTCAAAACCCTCTGCACCTCTGCAGTGATCTATGATTCCATCTCAATGATGCCTACTGATAAGTCATCATTCTCACCTAAGACTCCTCCTCTCTTTTAAATAAGACGTTCACAGTAGGGTATTTAGCTCATCTCTTTTAAATAAGACTTTCACCATATTCCTTTAAAAAGTCACTCCCTGTTGTATCATGAACTCAACTTCTACTACTCATTCATGTCATCTTCTAATTGGCTATTGTCTTATTTTTGATTGCCAATACCTTACAGGTCGGTCAAAGCATAGCACTTGTCAAGGGTACTGTGTCATTTCAGTTTTAATAGATTGAAGGATGTATTCTTATATGCTTCAGAAGTAGAGATAATTTCAAACTTATTAAGTTAAAACTACATTCATCTTTCAATAAATTACATTACCTGTCAACTGGCACCGGTGGATGGTATGGCTTGTTGACCTTGGCATAGAGACCCTCTAAATGATCTCTCTCTGGAGAGAGTGGACGGCCATCGCGAGGATAAACCAGTGGTCCAGCCCGAGGGGGAGACGGAGACCTATAGACATTTGCCGATGCACATGGTTCCCGGAAGTGGTTCACTCTGGCATAATTGGGATCCATTTCATCATCGTCCATATCATGCAGTGATCCAATTGTACCAGTAGCATAATCAACAAGACCTCTTGCCTGCTTTTCCCGTAGCTCCTGATGTTTTGCTCCAATCCTGAAAAATGCAGAACAGGTAACATCTGTGAGTTTATATGCTAGTACAATGATAACACTCTTCTGAATCTATGCAAATTCCTCCTAGTTGGTAACCTAGCTGCCACTTACCTGTATACTCAAGACCACACCATAGAGAAATGCAAATAGCATAGTCCGTGGGATTAATTTTATATCTATGTCCTTTATTTGGTAAGGAGCCTGATATTATAGCAATGCTGTAGGTACTTTGACATCTTGCCCACTGATGCCTGGGCTGATTGCAGAGTCAGGCTAATTTTCTTTTCTTTTCTTTTCTTTTCTTTTCTTTTTAAATATATTTTAATTGATTTTTTACAGAGAGGAAGGGAGAGAGAAGAGAGTTAGAAACATCGATGAGAGAGGATCATCGATCAGCTGCCTCTTGCACACCCCCCACCGGGGATGTGCCTGCAACCAAGGTACATGCCCTTGACCAGAATTGAACCCGGGACCTTTCAGTCCGCAGCCTGACGCTCTACCACTGAGCCAAACTGGTTTCGGCAGGCTAATTTTCATTACCACTCTTTTCCTATAAGTGGGATGTGCTCATGGGAACAGTATATCTTTGATATGACACTATGGAAGCCAGCCTTGGAACAGGGGTGCATGTTAAAGAGTCCATCACAATCTCATACTTTGTCTATGCTTTCACTATTTGGTACTCTGGAGTTCCAATGTATTCTCCTAAAGAAAAGAGCTTGTAAAAGTTGGTTTGAATATGAAAAACAAATACAGAGGCTTTCTGGTTACTAAAAGCAGTGGGAGCAGATACAATTTATCAGAGATTCTAAATTTCTTGATTACATAAATGGGGATCATTGTGTCTCATTACATAGGAGCTAGGGATAGAGTAAAATAGTGAAGAAATTAATAGACTCCTGACAGAGATGAATTGGCACATATGAATAAATTAAACACTACTACTGGCCCAACTCCACAGTACTAACGCTTTAAATGATATTACTGCTGATCAGTGTACTATGTAGACTATTGGGATTGGGAGCAGGACAGTATATTTAGGTGGATTCCAAACCCATCAGAATTTGAGCATTTGACATTTAATCTGGAATGTGTTAGACTAGCGCTCCTAAATTCCCAGTTAGGTGTTAAAATGAAAAGGTCACTGTGTATTTTATAGGACAATGGTGATCTGATGGTATCAGGAGGCTTTCAGCACTAATGAGGGAATGTAACCTTACACATCACTGGGCAAGCAAGGTGTATTATGTACAGGATGGGAGAGGTAAGGTGATGAAAGAAAGGCTCTCAAGAAAGGATGGTGACAAATCCAGAGTCCTGGGCTCAGAGAATATGAGAGGGCTGTGGGCTAGAAGCAAAAGATCTATATTTGCCTGGAGATATATATTGAAGGCTTAGATGAGTGAAAACAAAAACTGAACTCAATATATTCCCTTCAAATAAAAACAGCTGTTTTTGCACATTGCAGCTAGTTTTATTTTACTGAACATCAAACTCTTTGTAAAAATCTTTAAAAGCCACGATCTTTCAAGGTACTTTCTCTTTAGGCAGAGTGGCTTTTTTTTTTTTTTTTTTTTTTTTTTTTTTTTTTTGTAGAGAGGAGGAAAGGAGAAAAAAAAATATGAAGAAGGAATAGGATAAAGAATCAGCATATATCCTCAAGTCACAACAGAAGAAAATAAATGTCAGGATACTTGACTGCATTTCTCTTTGGACTAGGTCAAATCATGTACCCTACACTGCATATAAATAATTAGGAGAATTCATATTTCTGCAAAGGGGAGTCAGAATCTCCAAGGGGTTTTGAATGAAGATGAAAGGAAGATTACTCAGCAGGGCACCTGTTAAGAGGCCCTGCCTATCCTCTTTCAATACATGTTAGTCCTAGATTCATGGATATTTGTTTTGAATATATTTTTTTTTTTATAAAGGAGATAACCTGCTCCATTCTGCAAAAACAGTCTTTCCAGGGACAGTGCCAACTGGATTATCACAGAATGCCTGCTGCACTAAGATGATAGAGACAGGTTTTCATTGCAAATAGAGTGCAGGACATCAATAAAGTTAGGGGGTGGGGTTCTGTGTGGTTACCATCACTCCGAAGTGGGATGCCTTCAAGAGGAATCATTCAGCCAGAACCGGTTTGACTCAGTCGATAGAGCATCGGCCTGTGGACTGAAAGGTCCCAGGTTCCATTCCGGTCAAGGGCATGTACCTTGGTTGCGGGCACATCCCCAGTAGGGGGTGTGCAAGAGGCAGCTGATCGATGATTCTCTCTCATCGATGTTTCTAACTCTCTATCCCTCTCTCTTCCTCTCTGTGAAAAATCAATTAAAAAAAAAAAAAAGGAATCATTCAGCAGAAAGATGAACATCTCATGGCTGCCCTGTGGGGCTACACTTGTGCATGAATGAAAGAGGAATACACCAGGCTTGATTTTTTAATATTACAGGAACAGAACACTAGTATCTGTGTTCCTTATTTTATCACTTCTCTTTCTTTGAGGTTTTGCTCATTAATATGAGCATGCAGAGATTCTTGGGTGAAAAGTACTCAAGCAATATTTTATCTTGAACTTTTCCTTTCTAAAACAAAACAAAACCAAATTTCTCTTTGGTCCTCTCTGTACCACTAAGTATTGCAGTAACTAATTTCATATTAATCATTCAGCATGTGAAACAGAAATTTCTCTGAATCATTGTTATTATGCCACATATGAGGGTCTATCCAAGAGGCAGAAGATAAGGCAATGTTTGCAAAGGGGAGTATGGACCGCCTGCCCCAATTCAGTGTAAGAATGAATTCCAACTGTTTATAGTCATTTCCTTTTATAGGTCTCCTTATCACTGGAAAGTCAAGCTGTTAAAATAGCTATCATTCAAAATAGTCCTGGATAATGTAGCCTTTTTATTGGGTGGTACCACCAGTTTCCCCATTCTCCCCAGTACTCTGCCTTTAAATTGTTTAAATCTCCTTTTCCCCCTATAAAAACATTATTTTTTTTTCATTATACCTCTTAGATATCCTCTTCTGATTCCATTTCTTTAGTTGCAGTCTAGTGTTTAGGTTATTGCCTACATCTTCATTGTCCAGTATGGTAATCATTAACCATATGGTGCTATATAAATTTAAATTGGAATTATCATTAAATAAAATTTAAAACTCAGTTTCTTGATTTCACAAACCACATTTCAAGTGCTGGTTGAAAAGGTGGCGGGATTAAGCAAAAAAATAAAAAATAAAAAAATCTCAGACAGATAATATGGTGATTACCAGAGGGAAGAGAAAAGGGGAGGCAAAAGAGGGTAGAGGGGATGGGTAATTAGTGATGGAAAGAGATGACTTTGAATGGTGAACACATAACACAATATACAGATGATGTATTATAGAATTGTACACTTGAAACCTATATAATCTTATTAGCACAGTCACCCCAATAAAATCAATAAACATTTTAAGAAAAGAAATAGAATAAAAAGAAAAGGACAGGCAAACAAGAGAAAATATTTGCAAAAATGACCCATTTTAAACTGGGCAAAATTCTAAACAGATATTATATCAAAGAAAATCTAGAAATGCTCAATAAGCAAAGGAAGTGTGTATAACATTGTAAGTCATCAGGGAAATGCCAATTAAAACCACAGTGAGATACTCTTACCAAAATGAAAGAGAAGGACAACATCAAGTGTTAGAGATGCTGTGGACCATCCCGAACTTTCATGCACTGAAGTCACGACAGACAATTTACCTCCCAGGTACTCATACATGAGAAATAACTACATATGTCCACAAAAATTGCCAAAGACTGCTTGGTAGCAGCTTTATTCATCATAACAAGAAATGGAAATCATTGAGATGTCCACCAGTAAGAGAATGGATAAGCAAGCAATGGAATGTTCATATAACAGCCTATAAATGATCAATAACACAAAATAAACTCCTGAAATACTCAATTATAAGGATGAATCTCAAAATTTTGCTGCTTAGCGAAAGAAGCTGCACATGACAAAAGAGCTTACTACATGCTTCCAATGATAAGAAACTCTAGATCAGGCAAAATCAAGCTCATGGGGACTGAAAATAAATTCAGTTGCTTCATGGGCGGGGCTCCACTCAGGGAGAAAAGGCATGAGGGAACATTCTGCGCCTTGATATACATTCATCAAAATAGAACAGGGGTATTCTTCTGCGTAGTTAAGACCTGGACATTTCACTGTATATAAATCATACTTCAATTAAACAACTCAAAAGAAAAAAAAATGAAAATTAAATTAAAAAATGCCAATTATGCTACATACAAGGTAGGGCAAAGATGTTTACAGTTGTGAAATAGGGTTTATTCTTATATTATTATTTATTAACTATTAGAGGCCTGATGCACAAAATTCGTGCATGGGGGTGGTCCTTCAGAAATAGCCTGCAGGGGATGTCTGACTGCTTCTTGCAATCCTGGATGGCTAGCTCCTAACTGCTCACCTGGTGGCCTGCCTAATTGCCCCTAACCCCTCTGCCTGCCTGCCTGATCGCCCCTAACTGCTCCCCTGCTGGCCTCATTGCTCCTAACCACTTCTATCTTGCCCCACACCTGGGACCCAGGATTCCCTCCCTCTGGCCAGCCATAGGCACCCAAGACCTGGGCCAGCTTCACCCAGTCCAGTTGCAGCCACAGGGGACCATGGGCAGGCAGCTTCACCTGGGCTGTAGCCGCAGGTGCCTGGGACTGTGGGACAGGCATCTTGTTCCTCTTTTTTACCACACCTACAGGCGCTAGTGCCTGGGACCGAGGGGCGGGCAGATAGTCCTCCTCCTGGGCAGCAGCTTGGCTAGTCCCCATTGCTCTCTCCCCAATGTTGAGTGTCTTAGCAGTTCCAGGTGCAAGGGTGCGAGGGCGTGATAACCATTTGCATATTAGCTCTTTATTATATAGGACTGTATTATTTTTGTATTAACAAACTTAGCCTACTTTTCTCCCACTCTGTATATATCCATGCGATAAAATCT